GTGGAAAGAGTGAGTGACATCTTAGTGTGAGTAGAGTGAGTGAGTGTCATCTTAGTGTTGGTCTAGTCAGTAAGTGACATCTAAGTGTTGGTGGAGTGAGTTCGTGACATCTTCGTGTGGTAAGAGTGAGTGTTATCTTAGTGTGGATGGAGTGAGTGCGTGACATCTTAGTGTTGGTGGAGTGAGTGCGTGACATAATAGTGTGGTTGGAGTGAGTGAGTGACATCTTAGTGTTTGTGGAGTGAGTGCGTGACATCTTAGTGTTGGTGTAGTGAGTGAGTGACATCTGAGAGTGAGTGGAATGAGTAAGTGACAACTTAGTGTGGTTGGAGTGAGTGCGTGACATTTTAGTGTTGGTGGAGTGAGTGAGTGACATCTTAGTGTGGATGGAGTGAGTGAGTGACATCTTAGTGTGGATGGATTGAGTGAGTGACACCTTAGTGTTAGTGGGGTGAGTGATATCATACTCTTGGTGGAGTGTGTGCGTGTCATTTTAGTGTTGGTGGAGTGAGTGAGTGACATCTTAGTGTTGGTGGAGTGAGTGAGTGACATCTTAGTGTGGGTGGAGTGAGTGCGTGACATTTAATGTTGGTGGAGTGAGTGCGTGACATCTTAGTGTTGGTGGAGTGAGTGAGTGACATCTTAGTGTTGTTGGAGTGAGTGACATCTTAGTGTTGGTGGAGTGAGTGCGTGACATCTTAGTGTGGGTGGAGTGAGTGGGATACATCTTAGTGTTGGTGGAGTGAGTGAGTGACATCTTAGTGCAGGTGGAGTGCGTGACATATTCCTGTTGGTAGAGTGAGTGAGTGGCATTTTAGTGTTAGTGGAGTTAGTGATATCTTAGTGTGCATGGAGTGAGTGAGTGACATCTTTGTGTGGGTGGAAAGAGTGAGTGACATATTAGTGTTGATGGAGTGTGTGAGTGACACCTTAGTGTTGGTGGAGTGAGTGAGTGACACCTTAGTGTTGATGGAGTGAGTGAGTGACATCTTAGTGTGGATGGAATGAGTGAGTGAGTGACACCTTAGTGTTAGTGGGGTGAGTGATATCATACTGTTGGTGGAGTGTGTGCGTGTCATTTTAGTGTTGGTGGAGTGAGTGAGTGACATCTTAGTGTTGGTGGAGTGAGTGCGTGACATCTTAGTGTGGGTGGAGTGAGTGCGTGACATTTAATGTGGGTGGAGTGAGTGCGTGACATCTTAGTGTTGGTGGAGTGAGTGAGTGAGTGACATCTTAGTGTTGGTGGAGTGAGTGACATCTTAGTGTTGGTGGAGTGAGGGCGTGACATCTTAGTGTGGGTGGAGTGAGTGGGATACATCTTAGTGTTGGTGGAGTGAGTGAGTGACATCTGAGTGCTGGTGGAGTGCGTGACATCTTCCTGTTGGTAGAGTGAGTGAGTGGCATTTTAGTGTTAGTGGAGTGAGTGATATCTTAGTGTGCATGGAGTGAGTGAGTGACATCTTAGTGTGTGTGGAAAGAGTGAGTGACATCTTAGTGTTGATGGAGTGTGTGAGTGACACTTTAGTGTTGGTGGAGTGAGTGAGTGACACCTTAGTGTTGATGGAGTGAGTGGGTGAGATCTTTGTGTTGGTGGAGTGAGTGAGTGACATCTTAGGGTTGATGGAGTGCGTGACATCTTAGTGTGGTTGGAGTGAGTGAGTGACATTTTAGTGTAGGTGGAGTGAGTGAGTGACATCTTAGTGTTGATGGAGTGCGTGACATCTTAGTGTGGGTGGAGTGAGTGAGTGACATCTTAGTGTTCGTGGAGTGAGTTAGTGACATCCTAGTGTTGGTTGAGTGAGTGAGTGACATCTTAGTGTTGGTGGAGTGAGTGCGTGACATCTTAGTGTTGCTGCAGTGAGTGAGTGACATCTTAGTGTTGGTGGAGTGAGTGCGTGACATCTTAGTGTGGGTGGAGTGAGTGCGTGACATTTAATGTGGGTGGAGTGAGTGCGTGACATCTTAGTGTTGGTGGAGAGAGTGAGTGAGTGACATCTTGGTGTTGTTGGAGTGAGTGAGTGGCATTTTAGTGTTAGTGGAGTGAGTGATATCTTAGTGTGCATGGTGTGAGTGAGTGACATCTTAGTGTGGGTGGAAAGAGTGAGTGACATCTTAGTGTTGATGGAGTGTGTGAGTGACACCTTAGTGTTGGTGGAGTGAGTGAGTGACACCTTAGTGTAGATGGAGTGAGTGATTGACATCTTAGGGTTGATTGAGTGGGTGACATCTTAGTGTGGGTGGAGTGAGTGAGTGACATTTTAGTGTGGGTGGAGTGAGTGAGTGAGTGACATTTTAGTGTTGGTGGAGTGAGTGAGTGACATCTTAGTGTTGATGTAGTGCGTGACATCTTAGTGTGGGTGGAGTGAGGGAGTGACATCTTAGTGTTCGTGGAGTGAGTGAGTGACATCCTAGTGTTGGTTGAGTGAGTGAGTGACATCTTAGTGTTGGTGGAGTGAGTGACATCTTAGTGTGGATGGAGTGAGTGATATGTTAGTGTGGATGGAGTGAGTGAGTGACCTTTTATTGTTGGTGGAGTGAGTGTGTGACATCTTAGTGTTGATGGGGTGAGTGCGTGACATTTTAGTGTGGGTGGAGTGAATGAGTGACATCTAAGTGTTTTTGGAGTGAGTGCGTGACATCTTAATGTGGTAAGAGTGAGTGCTATCTTAGTGTGGATGGAGTGAGTGCGTGACATCGTAGTGTGGTTGGAGTGAGTGAGTGACATCTTAGTGTTTGTGGAGTGAGTGCGTGACATCTCAGTGTGTGAGGACTGAGTGAGTGACATCTTTGTGTGGATGGAGTGAGTGACATCTTAGTGTGTGAGGACTGAGTGAGTGACATCTTCGTGTGGATGGAGTGAGTGACATGTTAGTGTTGGTGGAGTGAGTGAGTGACATCTTAGTGTTGATGGAGTGCGTGACATCTTAGTGTGGGTGGAGTGAGTGAGTGACATATTAGTGTTCGTGGAGTGAGTGAGTGACATCTTAGTGTTGGTTGAGTGAGTGTGTGACATCTTAGTGTTGATGGGGTGAGTGCGTGACATTTTAGTGTGGGTGGAGTGAATGAGTGACATCTTAGTGTTGGTGGAGTGAGTGCGTGACATCTTAATGTGGTAAGAGTGAGTGTTATCTTAGTGTGGATGGAGTGAGTGCGTGACATCTTAGTGTTGGTGGAGTGAGTGCGTGACATCGTAGTGTGGTTGGAGTGAGTGAGTGACATCTTAGTGTTTGTGGAGTGTGTGCGTGACATCTCAGTGTGTGAGGACTGAGTGAGTGACATCTTTGTGTGGATGGAGTGAGTGACACCTTAGTGTGTGAGGACTGAGTGAGTGACATCTCAGTGTTGGTGGAGTCAGTGCGAGTGTTGGCGGAGTGAGTGATATCTTACTGTTGGTGGAGTGAGTGAAATCTTAGTGTGGGTCGGCTGAGTGGATGACACCTTAGCGTGGATGGAGTGAGTGAATGACATCTTAGTGTGGATAGAGTGAGTGAGTGACATCTTCGTGATGGTGGAGTGAGTGAGTGACATTTTAGTGTGGATGGAGTGAGTGAGTGACATCTTAGGGTTGATTGAGTGCGTGACATCTTAGTGTGGGTGGAGTGAGTGAGTGACATTTTAGTGTTGGTGGAGTGAGTGAGTGACATCTTAGTGTTGATGGAGTGCGTGACATCTTAGTGTGGGTGGAGTGAGTGAGTGACATATTAGTGTTCGTGGAGTGAGTGAGTGACATCCTAGTGTTGGTTGAGTGAGTGTGTGACATCTTAGTGTTGATGGGGTGAGTGCGTGACATTTTAGTGTGGGTGGAGTGAATGAGTGACATCTTCGTGTGGGTGGAGTGAGTGCGTGACATTTTAGTGTGGATGGAGTGAGTGAGTGACATCTTAGGGTTGATGGAGTGCGTGACATCTTAGTGTGGGTGGAGTGAGTGAGTGACATTTTAGTGTTGGTGGAGTGAGTGAGTGACATCTTAGTGTTGATGGAGTGCGTGACATCTTAGTGTGGGTGGAGTGAGTGAGTGACATCTTAGTGTTCGTGGAGTGAGTGAGTGACATCCTAGTGTTGATTGAGTGAGTGAGTGACATCTTAGTGTTGGTGGAGTGAGTGACATCTTAGTGTGGGTGGAGTGAGTTAGTGACATCCTAGTGTTTGTTGAGTGAGTGAGTGACATCTTAGTGTGGATGGAGTGAGTGAGTGACACCTTAGTGTGGATGGAGTGAGTGATATCTTAGTGTGGATGGAGTGAGTGAGTGACCTTTTATTGTTGGTGGAGTGAGTGTGTGACATCTTAGTGTTGATGGGTTGAGTGCGTGACATTTTAGTGTGGGTGGAGTGAATGAGTGACATCTTAGTGTGGTAAGAGTGAGTGTTATCTTAGTGTGGATGGAGTGAGTGCGTGATATCTTAGTGTTGGTGGAGTGAGTGCGTGACATCTTAGTGTGGTTGGAGTGAGTGAGTGACATCTTAGTGTTTGTGGAGTGAGTCCGTGACATCTTAGTGTTGGTGTAGTGAGTGAGTGACATCTGAGTGTGGGTGGAGTGAGTGAGTGACATCTTAGTGTGGGTGGAGTGAGTGCGTGACATTTTAGTGTTGGTAAGGTGAGTGAGTGACATCTTAGTGTGGATGGAGTGAGTGAGTGACATCTTAGTGTGGATGGAGTGAGTGAGTGAGTGAGTGAGTGACACCTTAGTGTGGGTGGAGTGAGTGAGTGACATCCTATTGTTGGTGGAGTGAGTGCCTGACATCTTAGTGTTGGTGGAGTGAGTGCGTGACATCTTATTGTGGGATTAGAAGCCCGATGTGGATTGGTTTCCGTGTTTGTGAAATCTAAGTGTATGATGCTGTCAAACCAAGGATCGTGATCAAGACGAATCCGGGATCAGAGCCTGCTATCACCACATCCTGGTCCATATTGCGACTCCCCTCATTTGGCCACCAATATAAAGGTTTGAAGAAATCGAAAACGTTTTCAGTTAAATTAATAAAAACAATTGTTTGTTCAGACACATCATGGCAACTGATATTGACAATTGGCAAAGTGGGAAGTCCTTCCCGGAAACCAACCTGCACATGTTGGACAGTTTGTTGTTGGCTGATGTGACCTTCCTCGTTGGAGATCAAAGGGAGACAATCCAGGCTCACAAATTCATTTTAGTCAGCCGTAGCGTGGTGTTTCACGCGATGTTCTGTGGATCGATCCCCGAGACGGGCCAAGTAGTGATTCCTGATATTCAGACAGACAACTTCAAGACCTTTCTAAGGTTAGTTGAGATGTTTTATTGGTATATTTCGAACTATCTGGCAGAAGTATAACAGAAGATAACAGAAGGTACAAAGAGAACAAGTTGCTGACAAGCCATAATCTCGAGAACCCACAATGTGACATAACAGCATATTACCATATCTTGAGCTGTTTTGTAAGCAACTAAAACAAGAGACAAATGATTTACACAACCCTAATTAATCTCAAATGAAAGCAGAGTTCATTGTAGAATACCAACTGTATATTGATGGTTTCTCGTGTTTTGTAATGCAAGCCTCGGTGTTTTCCCACTTGTATCAACTCGTGTTGATATATTTGATATCAAAAGACACATGGGTGAGATTCTCTATTTATCACCCAAAACTGATTTCCATAAGAGATATTTGTATGTGAGATCAATGAAATTGTAACAATGCTTTGCGGCCAGTGTGATGTCATCGGTTACCATGACATCACAATCAAATGACATCACTAATCCCACTGCCACTGAAACTGTGGCTGTATTATTTACATCCACGACACTTGGTGTTACTATTCAGAAAGTTTAGCTAAATAATGATTTTTGATGATTAATAGAATCCCACCCTTGTGTCTCAGCAAGCCTGAGTTGATACATTTGATATCCAACTCACCCGGGTGAGACAGTACATAACATTAACATTTCATCACCAGGTACCTCTACACGGGGGAAGTCGCGTTAACTCCTGACACTGTCCTTAGTCTGATGTACGCTGCTAGGAAATACAACGTCCCTGGACTGGAAACGCAATGTGAGGAGTACTGCTTACAATCTCTGTCGCCTAGCAACGCATGTGTATTCCTACAACAAGCAGTCCTGTTTGATAAAGAAGACCTCAAGGACAGAGCTCTTCTGGTAATTAAATCCAGTGCGGAGGTGACTATTGCTAGCGAGGGATTCTGTGAGCTAAGCAAGGAATGTCTAAAGCTGATCCTAAAGGCAGATGACATGAGAGTTGACGAGATTTGCATCTTCCGATCTGTGATGTCTTGGGCGGAAGCTGAATGTCGACGTCAGGGAAGGGAGGTAACTCCAGATGAGAAAAGGGAAGTGTTGGGACAGTGTTTGTTTCTCATTCGTTTTCCATTTATTTCAATGATGGAATTTTCCACAACTGTCTGCTATGAGGGTATTTTAAGTGATGCCCATGCCTTGATGTTATTAAGAAAATACGCCATAAGCGACCTGGATATACGGCCGTTCTGTGACATATCTCGGAAATCTCCTGTCTATAACTTGTCTCGCCTACCTCCTGACCAAAACGACCTCGAGACAAAGTATTCTTACCTAAATACAAATGATGCGTGGTATATATCCTGTGATGCCAGTGTTCAACTGACCGGACTGAGTGTGTACGCTGGGAAGGTGGCGGACAAGGAGTCTGTAGACATAGTTGTTACTGACAGTGATAACACAACCCTGCTGAAGCACGACCAGGACCTGGATGTGACAGAGGGACAACTCTCAGATGTGGTGATGTTTACTTCGCCTCTGTCTGTCAGCAAAGGAAAGAAGATAAAAATCAAAGTCATCAGGTTCCGCGATTCAGTTCATAATTATGCATGTAAAATGAACAATCAGCGAGTAATAAGGCATGAAGCATCTGGTGTTGTGTGGACACAGGAGCTCTGTGGGGAAAGTGATTCTGACAACAGCCTTGAATATGGATTCCTTACTGGGATTTTCTACGAATTGTAGTGTGTTTATCTTTTACCCTGATCCGTATTAACAAATTCAGATGACCCAGGGACACCTCTCCTTCCAACTCCTCCATCTCTGTACGACAGTGGGGCGGTGGGGAAGCCAAGTGGTTAATGCGTTCGCTCGTCACGCCGAAGACCCGGGTCCGATTCCCCACATGGGCACAATGTGTGAAGTCCTGGTAAATTCTGATGTGCCCTTGCGATCAATCCGGTGATGGTAGACACATGACATCCAAAGTGCCTCGACATCGCATATGACGTTCATCCGGCCTGTGGCATCCCAATGGCAACGCCTCTCTGGAGTTCAGTTAATTGAACTATTTATCCTGTCCTTTTTCAAAGTCGAGTGTGAAATGCTTACTTCTTTTTTTATATAGTGGCTTATAAAGGATGGACAAGGGGGAAAATGCACAGTATATCTGCATGTGTAAAAAAAACCCAATTATATATACATTTCCATTCGGCTTTCACAAAAAAACTTAACTTGTGTTTCTTTTGCAGTTATGTATATATTGCCTTTGTTTTGCCTTTTATCAACTTAATCATGTGTGTTTCGATGTAATTTGATTGTTCATTGGTGTTGTGTGGTTATTTCCTGATTTCATTCTTTCTGTACAAACTGATTTCTGGGTTAACCTTCGCGTTTCAACTTGGGAATTAAAACGTAACGGTGTAGATATTATAATAAACTACTTTTACTATTTTCTATGTGTTTCATTAATCTTTGAAAAGAAGTACAATCCACCATTGCCAAATATAATGTCTTACATCTTGTGCAATACATATATACATACGCACGCACGCGCGCGCCAACAGACACACGCGCACACAGATTATCAAAGTTGTTTGCTTTGGCAGCTATAAAGCACAGGATGGCCATCATAAGCAGATGTTTGATATCTAAATTTCAACATAAACCAGCCACGCACCATGAACACAGGCTTCATTAACTCTTAGAAGGAGAATTTACAAAGTATACTTATAAAAAATACATAAAACGAATTTGATAATCTTTTGTAACTGCTCCATTGCAATGATAATTACCCTTTCAGGTCCATCCTCTGAATCTTTCCATCGTATGATCTGTCTAAGTCTGTGCGACCGTCACGAGAAACATCAGTTGTTCTTGTACGTCCTCTTCATCTGTTCAGCGATATCAAAGAAATGACTTGTATTTTCTGCTCATATCGACAGTTGAAACAAGGAAATTTGGCCAAGTTTAGATGTATTGATGAGCTGGTGTAGTTCAATAACGATCAAGTAGCCAATTCCCTTCCAAATATTTATCCACCTCATCTAGAAATAAAGGTCATCAGTGAGACCGCCTTGTCTGTTCCATATTTAGATCTGGGCATAAAGATTCAGAGCGACAAAAAACTGTCTACAATATTGGAGGCGAGGCAGGTGAGGTGAGGTCATATTGGGTTTAATGTTGAGTTAAAGATTATTGCACATATCTCGTGACATGCATGCACGTGTGTGTGTGTGTGTGTGTGTGTGTGTGTGTGTGTGTGTGTGTGTGTGTGTGTGCGTGCAAGTCTGTCTGCTTGTATTATTGCCAATATTCCTGATGCCAATATTATGGTGCTAGCCCACTGAGATACCATGCCCAGTTTAACATTAATACGCAACTCTGACACAGCATACTGACTCAAAGCCGACCACTTATATTAGCCCCGTAATGCTGAGCGCCAGGCAGGGTAACAACAAGTACCATCTTTTATCTTCTTTGGTATGACGTGGCCAGGAGTAAACAGCCTGACCTTCCTCTCTCCAGGCAGACGCTCTTCTACTAGACCACAGAGGCGGTCCAAAAAGACTGTATGACAAGGGGGATGACTTCAACTTTCCAATAGTCAACTTAACCTTTATGTCCAGCAATATTGCAGCAGCAGCAGCCTTTGGTATCCATATTTCACAGCTTTTAATGTACAATCGAGCATGCTCTTTCTATCAAGATTTCAAATTTGACTTATATGTCCAATGCAATTCCCAATTTTCAATTGTACCATATGTTCCGATGTATTTTCAGGTGAACAATTGACTTGCCTATGCATGTGTTTGTGACAGGAGCCACTGGTGGGGCAGGATACGCTCACCTATTCGCAAACACCTGGTATAATCACTATTTGATAGTGGTTCATAAACGCATGCTCATGATATAACTGAAATCGTACAATCGACTCTGCTTTTAGCAGAGACTTCTTATGAATATGGAAAGGGTTTTGTTGCTTTGATTTACCATTATGCTACCCCAAGTCCCCTTTATCATGGATAATTGGGCATCCTGGAAACCTGAGATCCTGCGTCTTCGAGGCAAAGGTGGTAACTGACTGTAAAATTCCAGTTTCCACCCTTGCCGATGCTGGCAGGAATTTCCAGGTTCGATCGCAGGTCCAACAGTGGCTATTACGATTTATGTCCCTTCTATGTCCCTCCTTCTGACAATCAGATTCAATGTTTCATTTCACTTTCATTTGTTTCAAACAAAATGATGGCGCCCAGTCAAGACGATCTGGTGGATAATCAACATTTCTATTGTAATATCAGGGTGTTTGCATGCGAAGTGCGTCAGATCACTTGTGCACGTTGATTAAAAACATGAAAAGATGTGTAAAATATCTGTCGACGCAGCGTAGACGGTACACATACTTTGCAAATCCTGCAGTCGACTACAACCTGCACCTTGAAATCTTTGTTGTTTATGAACCTGTTCTGTAGTTCGTGACATGATTTTGATTGGACTATGCACAGACTCGTTAGTCCAGCCAAAATGTAACACCAGAATTCCAGCCTAGTTTGGCAAGGGGGGAAACTGGACTTTTATAGTCAGTTACCTCCATTGCCTCGGGAAGATGGAGATCCAGGTACACTGCAAATTGTGGTACCCTGGACCATCTTGTAAATTTTTGGTGCAAAAACAAGAAAAATCCCTCACAATCTTTCTGGGTATTTATTTTTTTTATCAATAACATTACAGAAAATAAATTGTTTGATTTGTTTTAAACTTGTATTTAAAACTTATATCTGTACAATATGATGTTCATATAAATTTGTACAAAAGGGATGTAAAATGGACTATCCTCCAAGAAGGAAACATTGAAGCATGTAGAAACACAATACAGGACAACGATATGTACATATGATATGTCGCTTTCTCCACGCGTATCAATGACAAGGATATGTACATAATGATATGTCATTTTCCTCCACGCGTATCAATGACAATGATATTCACACATGATTATACACAAGCTCAGCACGACAACACTGATATATTTACAACAGTTGCCAATAACAACAAGATTATTCACACAGATAAAACATAGCCTAAAGTTGATCTTGAAAATCTATTATTTAGTACTTAAGTTTAAGCTGACAAGCGGGCATCAATGTATATATCTCCAGATGCTGCAACATTCGTAAACACAAAATAAGAACACCCACTGATGATTATCATTTCCTGAAGTCAGATCAACATTTCTAACATTTAATATCATAAACAGCAAATAAAGATTTTGTGACATCAGGTTAAGAATACATACTAGTGTGGTGAGTAGGAATATGTTGGATAGTTGGTTTCTTGTTTAAAAAGAAAAGTAATCACAATAAGCATCATTTTAGATTTTGATGAAACACTTCATCCTGTGTATTTATGCTTATCGCCTAACACCCCTCCCTGACCAACACCCCTTCCCTGCTAACACCCTTTTAACTAACACCCTACCCTAACACCCTTTCCAACTAACACCCACCCCTAACAACACCCCTTTCTTGCTAACACCCTCCCCTCCACTAACAACCTTTCCAGCTAACACCCTCCCCTCCACTAACACCCTTTCTAGCTAACACCCCTCCCCTCCCCTCCCCTCCACTAACACCTTTTCTCGCTAACACCCCTCCCCTTCCCTCCACTAACACCCTTTCCAACGAACACCCTCCCTACCACCAACACCCCTTTCCAGCTAACACCCCTCCCCTCCACTAACACCCTTTCCAACTAACACCCTCCCTACCACCAACACCCCTTTCCAGCTAACACCCTCCCCTCCACTAACACACTTTCCAACTAAAACCCCTTCCCAACAACACCGTTTCCAACTAACAACCCCCCCCCCCCCCCCCCCCCCCCCCGCACCAACACCCTTTCCTGCTAACACACGCCCCTCCTCTAACACCGTTCCCAGCTTACACCCTCCCCTCCACCAACATCCTTTCCAACTAACACACGCCCCTCCCCTAACACCCTTTCCAGCTAACACACGCCCCTCCCCTAACACCCTTTCCTGCTAACACACGCCCCTCCCCTAACACCCTTTCCTGCTAACACACGCCCCTCCCCTAACACCCTTTCCTGCTAACACCCTCCCCTCCACTAACACCCTTTCCAGCTAACACCCTCCCCTCCCCTAACACCCTTTCCAGCTAACACCCTCCCCTCCACTAACACCCGTCCCTTCCACTAACACTCTCCTCTACAAACACCCTCCCCTACTTACACTCTCCCTCATTACCTAACCTGAATATTAAATAAATAATGATCAATTTCCAACATTTCGAGATTTAAATTGACCCCTGAACAGTATGTCCTACAAATATCAATTCCAGCAAGCCTCGGTGTTTTCCCACTTTAATCAACTCGTGTTGATATATTTGATATCAAAAGACACATGGGTGAGATTCTCTATTTATCACCCAAAACTGATTTCCATGAGAGATATCTGTATGTGAGATCAATGAAATTGAAACAATACTTTGAGGCCAGTGTGATGTCATCGGTTACCATGACATCACAATCAAATGACATCACTAATCCCACTGCCACTGAAACTGTGGCTGTATTAGTTACATCCAAGACACTTGGTGTTACTATTCAGAAAGTTAAGCTAAATAAGGATTTTTGATGATTAATAGAATCCCACCCTTGTGTCTCAGCAAGCCTGAGTTGATACATTTGATATCCAAACACACCCAAGTGAGACTGTATATAACATTAACATTTCATCACCAGGTACCTAGACACGGGGGAAGTCGCGTTAACTCCTAACACTGTCCTTAGTCTGATGTACGCTGCTAGGAAATACAACGTCCCAGGACTGGAAACGCAATGTGAGGAGTTCTGCTTACAATCTCTGTCGCCTGGCAACGCATGTGTATTCCTACAACAAGCAGACCTGTTTGATAAAGAAGACCTGAAAGAAAGAGCTCTTAAAGTAATTAAATCCAATGCCGAGGTGAGTGTTGCTAGCGAGGGATTCTGTGAGCTAAGCAAGGAATGTCTAAAGCTGATCCTGAAGGCAAATGACATGAGAGTTGACGAGATTTGCATCTTCCGATCTGTGATGTCGTGGGCGGAAGCAGAATGTAGACGCCAGGGAAGGGAGGTAACTCCAGATGAGAAAAGAGAAGTGATGGGAAAATGTTTGTTTCTCATTCGTTTTCCATCTATTTCAATGGCGTAATTTGCCACAACTGTCTGCAATGAAGGTATTTTAAGTGATGCCCATGTCATAATGTTCTTACGAAAATACTCAATCAGCCACCTGGATATACGGCCGTTCTGTGACAAATCTCGGAAATCTCCTGTCTATAACTTGTATCGCCCATCTACTGACCGAGACGCCTACCAGACTTGCTGCAGTAGATGTCACCGTCGTGCGTCGTATAAATTCAAAACAGAGAATTTTATCAGACATAACTTCAT